CAGTGTTTGCACTTTGCGATAAATAAGGGGGTTTTGGGTGGCAGTTTGGGCACTCAGGCTCCAAAAGGTTCGCCATCACTGCTCTAGGACCATTTTTAGAAGCTTAGTTACATATCATTCAGTTAGGGTTTAGATATACTTTAAGCAAAATGTGTTTCTTTACTTAGAGGGAATACTATACATGTAATAGAGAGGAGCAACCAACCATGCTTTATGTATCCAGCCCACTCAATTGAGTATTTCTTCACAATTTTAGCTTTTCTTCTGTCATTATCAAACTGTGTCCAGTGATGTAAAACCAAAAAAGGTCCTACTGTTGCTTATTGGCGTGGGCATGAGCATGACTGTGTGAGCATATTGTCTTGCAGATAGGGGCTATAGATTGTAAGCTCTAACGAGCAAGACCCTCTGTTTTTCCTCTTGTACCAAATTATATTGCAACTGTAATGTCTACGTTCATTTTGTAAAGTGCTGTGCAAACTGCTGGCGCTATATAAATCCTGTATATTAATAATAATACAGGTGTACCTCGGTTTACGAATGCCACGGTTAACGTAATTTTTGGTTTATGAATGAAAATCCATTGAAAATAATGGCTCGGTTTATGATTTGTTTTCTCAATACGAACAGATTAATTGGTTTTTAATGCATTTACAAATTTTAATCAAGTTCCTGTACAGTACTATGCCTTTAAAGTGCACTTTATAAAGAGTTTTTGAACAGATAAGACTTTTTTCTACCTCCGGAACGGATTAATTGGTTTTCAATGCATTTACAAATACATTTTTAATCATGTCTCTGTAAAGTATTTATGCCTTTAAAGTGCACTTTATAAAGAGTTTTGATCAGATAAAAGACTTTTTTTTTTACTTTTTTCTGACCTCTGGAATGGATTAATTGGTTTTCAATGCATTCCTATGGGAAACCGGGTTTCAGTTTACAAATGTTTTGCAATACGAAAAGTCCCGCAGAACTCATTAAATTTGTAAACCGAGGTACGACTGTATAGACATTATCATCATTTTATGCTTTTATTTTCACTTACAAAAAATGTCATTGCTTGCAAATATATTAAAAAAAGTACCTATAACTTTATATTCATATCCCCCTTCATACCTTAATGTCTGAAGTTATGAGCGTAGTAGGTCCTCAGCAGTTGTAGCCTGGAAGGCGAGGGAGGACACTGCATTAAAACTGTTTTTATAATGTATGATTCATAGGAGGAGGGAGGGAGGGAGGGAGCAGTAATAAAAAATCTGGAACCAGTCTGTTTAGCTTTGGCAGGAAAAAAGTTAACGATTGAGTACATCCAATATTATTATTTTAGCTTTGGATACTTATTGCTCAGATGGAATGCTCCCTGGGAACTCTAGATTTATGGCGAAAAGCAACAATAACATATGTAATGTAATTGATCAATAGCATTATAGAGGACCGGAGCTCAAAAAGTAGAGACTGTTGCTGTTATAGGGACCATCTAGAACTGTTAAGTGTGCCTAAGCTGTACCTTGTGAGTTTGCCTATCGCCACATTATTATTATATTATTATACAGTATTTATATAGCGCCAGAAGGTTTGCTCAGCTCTGTACATTATAGTGGGGGACAGTACATGAGACAATACAGTAACAAAACAATACACGAGGAGTTTGAGGGCCCTGCTCTTTCGAGCTTACAATCTAGGAGCCACATAGATGTTTGTCTGCAGTGTGAGATCTAAGGCACTGCTGTCTTGGGTTTTTGTTGGAGGTTCTGACAGGAGGAATATATCTGCCTCTACCAAAATGGTCAATTCCACCAGAGATACAGTGCATCGCAAGTAATACTGGGAAAACATCAGACGTGTCCTTTGCCCTGTGCCTGCCTTTTTTGGGGGGGCACAAATTCCAGATTTCAGTATTTTTTTTTTAAAGCAGAATTGTTTTTTTTTCTGAATCTTCCCTGTAACTTTATATGAGCAAAAAAAAAAAAAAGAATGAAACCAAATCCAGAAGTTATAGCAATAGATTTGTTTCTTTTTGAAAATTATCAAAAAACAACAATTGTAAGCACCCCTGTCAGTGTAATGGTTTGCTTCAAACTCTGTAACTGTCACTTTTGCTTGACAACCTAATTTGTCTGTAAATGTAGGGAAAATGATAAATATAGGCATGTGAAATAAAAATGTGAATTAATATACTAAATAGTGCTGAAAGATAGTTCAAACCTGACACTTCGACGCTCTGAAATGGGTAGAGGTACTCATGGTATAAGCCAAAATGTCACAGTGACCTTTCGCAACCAGGACTGGAAAGAAATGGCGGTGCAGCCCTCCTCGGACCAGAGAAATCCAACACTGCACAAAAATACAAGAACAGAGAGGATGCAAACGCCTACTGCATTGCCTTAAAACTATTTATTGCAGAAAACAAGAAACAAATATTATACTCACAAGACAAGCAAGCTAAAAGCATGTGACTGCATAAGCACACAGTGTAGACCATTCTCCACCTCCAGATGGAGAAAAGATGGTAATAATTCTGATGCATTTTGGAGACCCTATCCCCTTCTGCCTTTGCTCTGAGGAAAGGGATAGGGTCCCTGAAATGCATCAGCAGTTATCACCATCTTGCCTCTACCTCCAGATGGAGAAAAGATGGTAATAATTCTGATGCATTTTGGAGACCCTATCCCCTTCTGCTTTTGCTCTGAGGAAAGGGATAGGGTTTCCCGAAGTGCATCAGCAGTTATCACCATCTTGTCTCCATCTGGAGGTGGAGAATGGTCTACACCAGGGGTGGGCAAACTTTTTGACTTGAGGGCCGCAATGGGTTCATATATTGGACCCGGGGGCCGGACCAAGAGTAGATGAATGATGTGTATGTGTCATCCATAGTAAGTATAGTAATATTCCCCCATAGTAAGCATAGTAATTAATCCCCCATATAGTAATTCATCCCCCATAGTAATTCATCCCCCATATAGTAGTTCATCCCCCATATAGTAATTCATCCCCCCATAGTAATTCATCCCCCCATAGTAATTCATCCCCCATAGTAATTCATCCCCCATAGTAATTCATCCCCCATATAGTAATTCATCCCCCATATAGTAATTCATCCCCATAGTAATTCATCCCCCATAGTAATTCATCCCCCATATAGTAATTCATCCCCCATAGTAATTCATCCCCCATATAGTAATTTATCCCCCATAGTAATTCATCCCCCATATAGTAATTCATCCCCCATAGTAATTCATCCCCCATAGTAATTCATCCCCCCATATAGTAATTCATCCCCCATAGTAATTCATCCCCCATATAGTAATTCATCCCCCATAGAGTAATTCATCCCCCATATAGTAATTCATCCCCCATATTAATTCATCCCCCATATTAAGTCCCCAAGTCCCCCCTGTGTCAATTCACTTACCTTTGCTCCGCGCGTTCCTCTCGCCGTGTTCCCGCGCCGTTCCGGTGTAGCATGAAAATCTGTCTCCTATGAGGATCTGTCCCCCTCGACGTATCTGCGCATGTGCCAGTTTCAGGCATTAGCAACCGATCGGCGATCTCCGGCACATGCGCAGATACGTCGAGGGGGACAGATCCTCATAGGAGACAGATTTTCATGCTACACCGGTCTTCAGGGTGGACTGTGAGAGGAGCCTAGCGGGAGCCTAGCTCCGCGGGCCGGATTAAAAGGTCCGCCGGGCCGTAGTTTGCCCATTGCTGGTCTACACTGTGTGCTTATGCAGTTACATGATTTTAGCTCACTTGTTTAGTGAGTATAATATTTGTCTCTTATTTTCTGCAATAAATTGTTTTAAGGTAATGCACTCTGTTCCTATGTTTTTGTACTAAATATCGCTATAGCGGGCCTTTTAGGCAGTTTATAATCCCCGACCTAACCAAGAGATAGTGGTGACATAGAGGCAAAGGGTGAGACTAAAATGCCTGGTGGAGGTCGTAGCCTTCCAACATACCTGAATGTGGAAAGCTTCTACGAATTGGAAGCAACACGATGAAGTATAAGGCTCCATGCACACTAGCGTTTTTTTAAACTCAAAAAACACTGGAAAAATGCTGGATAGAAAGTGTTGGTAGTTGCATTTTAGTAGCTTTCAGAAGCTTTTAGGAGTATTAGCTTTTTGTTTTCCAATAGTGTTTATTAGTTTTTTCATAAGAAATTACAAGTCAATAAAGAGAAGCTATACATCCATCCCCCCCCCCCCCATCATCCCATACAAACTGCAGCCCTTTCAGGCCGGGAGTATTAGCTTTTTATTAGTGTTTTTACAGTACGTGTAGAGAAAAAAAGACAAGCTCAAAAAAAGCTGATAGGAGCAGTTTAGTAGTGTTTAGAACGCTCCAAAAAAACTCTATAGGGCACAGTTCCGGTGGTCACCAGAGGATGTCTCCCAGCAGATTGGCTGTCCAAGTTATTAGGCTATGCCTGACGTGGGCTGCTGGGAGGTATATAAGCCCACCCTTGACTGAAGATCAGTGCTTCAATATTCTTCCTGTAAGCCATGTCCCTGCCCGAGCCTGATCCTTGTACCTGACCTTGAGACTGGCTCCTGTGACCTGCTGCTCCTTGTGTCCCTGCTCCCTGTGTCTCCTGTCCCCATCCCAACCTTGTCCTGCCCATGTGTGTTCCCACCAATTTGTATATAGTTAGGCTATCATTTGGGGTTTTTGCACTGTGACGTTTATGTATCACTTGCATCGTTTATGATTTACTGGTGTTGGTAGTGTGTCATTTGTTTTAATAAACTTATTTTACCCTTCTTCAGTCCCTGATTCCTTAAGATACAGCCCACTGATCTGATCACCCTTGCTGGATACCTGTGGTATCCCTGACAGTGCGCTGAAGCTCAAAAAATACTAATAGCCTAAGGGCTTTTTCACACGGGCGTTCCGTACGTCTGTTTTTCATCTGTCTGTTTATGGATGAAAAACAGACACCCATGTATTTCTACGGATTAGCAGATGATCATCTGTTTATATCTGTTAAAGTGTTACTAATCCCACAACAGTAAAATCAGTCTGTATATGCAGTAAAGCATGCTTGTTATACTCACTGTGGAACCTAAGGGGTTAATCCTCTGCATTGAGCAACAAGGCTGTTTAATCCTGACTTCTCTGCCCCTCCTCATGTTCAAATGTCCACCTGATACAGACTGGACCCGTGGTCACATGCACATGCTCAGTTCGGTGAGTTTTTTTTTCTTGGGAGGGTGAATGTTACATAGTTAGTCTGGCTGAAAAAAGACAAAAGTCCATCTAGTTCAACCATAGAAAGAAAAAAAGTTATAATCCTATACCCACAGTTGATCCAGAGGAAGGCAAAACAAAATGTGATCAGCACAGTCCAGACAGAGGGTCAGAGGTTTCACATCCTCCTAGAGCAGAAAGAAAACGCCTCCTACAAGCTTTTACCAGTGCTCTGCTGAAGTCACAAGACTGCTCTAACTGCTGATGAGAAAAGGTATTTAGCAGTTTATATTTACTAAAATAATTGCATTTCCATGTTGTGTGTACTGTGGGAGACTGGATATAGTGCATGCAGGGTACTGGATTTAGTATCACTTTAATGTCCGAATCTGTTGACATCCATTTTTTTGAATGGGAAAGAACGAACGGACGAAAACAGACAAAAAAACTGTTGTAAACAGATGTAAACGGACATACGGTCTGTTTTTGCATTGGAAAAGTATGTAAAAAACCAGAAGTAAACTGATGAAAAACGTATGTAAATGGATGTAAACTGATGAAAAATGGATGTAAATGGGTGAAAAATGTAAACAGAAGTAAATGGACATACGGTCCGCTTTTGCATTGGTAAAGGATGTAAAAAACAGATGTAAACTGATGAAAAATGGATGTAAATAAATGTAAACAGGTGAAAACGTAATCAGATGTAAACGGACATATGTTCCGTTTTTTGCATTGTAAAGAATGTAAAAAAAACAGATGTAAAGTGATGAAAAACGGATATAAACTGATGAAAAAAATGGATGAAAGATGTAAACTATCTTTAATCCATTTTTTCATCAGTTTACATCCGTCTTTCATCCATTTTTTCATCAGTTTACATCCGTCTTTCATCCATTTTTTCATTAGTTTACATCCATCTTTCATCCATGTTTTCATCAGTTTACATCCATGTTTCATCCATTTTTTCAAAAGCCTGAGGTTGCGTCAAACCCAGGGGAGAAAGGGGGTTACTCAACAAAGGCAGGAGAGGAAGAAAGGGAGACAGCAGCTCTAGCTTTAAAAAATAAACAACACTCCTCAGACTGCTTATACAAAGATACAATGTTACATATTCTTTCATGTGTATCTTCCTGTTCCTTCATCTGTAGATTGTGATGAAGCCACATGACCAGTGGCGTGACAGGTACGGCAGGGGCTTTGATGTCACAATGCTCGATGGTTCCATACTGACACCCGCTGGCAATTTTAGGATTTCCACCACTGAAAAAAATCTGGAGGACACATTTTGTGCACAGAGCGGTTTATATACAGAGTATATGTTTTAAAAGGATAATACACTATGATTTGATGCATTCCTCTATATCAACCACCATGAAAGGAGAGCCCATCGATTGAGTGGAGGAGGACCCCAAACAGCAAGATACCACCCCATCCATACTTTGGCCCATTTAAAGGGAAACAAGCGTTATATGACCTTACTTAACGGTTTGGTCATATAGTTGAGGTGAGAGCACAACCGGTAGGGAAGCACACTAATGCAAGTTTTTTTCACACAAAAAATCAATTAAGAAGCACAGGATATTTTATTCTACAGTGAACTATGCACATTCTGAGGAAGTTCATATACGGACCCCTTTTTTGACTGTTTTTGACAATTATATGGACATTGCTTTTGGAAATGGAGATTGGTTGATTCATTTATTTTAACTTTATTTATTTTGATATGCATTATAAATAGTAGCAATTGGATGCACATATTATTTAATTTGAGCAATTTTAAGTGAAGTGCAGCACATTTTGGTAATTAGTTAAACTTCAATCTGCAGATGATGCCAGTTAGAGCGGAGCTCCAGTCAAACCTCAAAAAAATAAAAGTCAGCAGCTGCAAAAACTGTAGGTGCTGACTTTTAAAAAACAGTCACTCACCTGTCCTAGGATCCAGCTGTGTCCTCATCACAGCCAGTTTCACTGGCCATCCTCGCTCCCTGGTGCCAGCATCATAAGTGTGGGCACCTGGCTGTGACAGCTTGCGCTACTGCGCTGCGCATGTAGCACTGTACCTTGTGAATGGTCCCATAGTCTTCTAGGACCTGTCATGTGTCCCAGAAGACTACTGGGAAAGAGGGAAACTTCCATTCGCCTAGGCGGTTGCAGTGCAAGTGGGAGAGCGGGTACCTGTCAAAATCGAGTACGCTCTTCCCCTGTTCCCCAAACGTGCCAAATCCTCACTGGGAACCAGTCCTTAAAGCTGAACTTCCCCTTTTGGGTGGAGCTCCGCTATAAGCAACCTTACAAGTAAAAAATAAAATGTTCCTCTGTTCAACCCTTATTAACTTTTAGTTTACGCTGATCTGCCCTAATTGAACTTCTTCGTCTCCTCTCCAACTAGTCTTTTCCTGCTGATGTTTTGGTTTTTTTTTTTCTATTTTATTAACTATTAAAATTATAAACCTTTTATTGTTTTTATTTTGTTTAATATTTTTACATATTTAACATATATTTACATATTTCCCATTTTAAAAACGACGACATTGAAAAAAAAAAACTTTATTTCATTTGTAAATAACTTTGCAATGCTTTGTACCAGAATCATCCTTTTAGTGTCATTTTAAACAAGACAAATTACAAAATAAAGTGCACTCATTTTATGTGCAGTAAAACTATTTATTTTTAAGGACTGCAAAAAAAATATTTTTGCAAGACAATAGAATGAAAAGAAAGCCTTGTTTGTTCTTTACCTTTTGTTCTACAGCTGCCCAGTTCCCTTTAGGACACTAAACATTTTGTTGAATAAATTAAAATGCTTTGGGTGGAGAGAAGATGTCTTGGCACTTGTGATGTCCAAAGTTTAAAACCATGCATTCCTCACAAGTTAGGTTTACAGGCAGTTAGATATTAAAATCAAAGATGTTATCCCAAAGTTATGGAAGTGCATATTGTTTTATGTTTGATGGTTATTTCTACCTTCAAAAGGTGTGGAGCCACGGCAGGAGCTAGATTTTCTCCCCCGTATGCAAATCTATTTATGGGTTGGTGGGAGTAGTCATACATCTGTGGAGGTAATAAATAGAGATGAGCGAATCAAACATGACGAAGTGGAATTCGTTCCGAAGATTTGGAAATATTCTATTCGCGACGAATCCGAAGATTAGCAAACTTCGGGATGCACGAATCGAATTTTCCCAAAAATGGCGGCGACATGTGTGGCCACGGAGAAAATGGACAGAGAAGATGGGGCGGGGATCTCTGGGAAGGCGCGCTGACCCATAATGCATTCATGACATGTGATCGCATTAGCCAATCAGCAGCCAGCCAGCACTATAAATCGCGGCCATCTTAGAATTCTCCATTAGCCTCCGGTCATTCAAGGGAGACAGACCTGTCTGTATTAAGGGACAGAGTTAGGGCCACAGAGACTTTAGGGCCACAGAATCGTTACTCAGGGACACAGAATCGTTACTCAGGGACACAGGATTGTTACTCAGGGACACAGAATCGTTACTCAGGGACACAGAATCGTTACTTAGGGCCACAGCTATCAAAGAATCGAAAATTTAAAGTGACATACACCCTTTTTTTTTTTGGTGGCTGTCGTGCACAGTTGGTGCTGCAGTTTGCCGATTGTGCAAAATAAACTGACTTTCTGCTTCACAACCACTATTGTACGTTCAAAGAGTTAAATCCATTTACACGCTGGCTGGCGGTAATATTTTTTGGGTGATTAGTGCATTCCAGTGACACAAACGTACAGTTTCCAGCCAACGGCAAGCTGCAATTGACCGATTGTGCTAAATAAACTGACTTTCTGCTTCACAACCACTATTGTACGTTCAAAGAGTTAGATCCATTTACACGCCGGGTGGCGGTAATATTTTTTGGGTGATTAGTGCATTTCAGTGACATAAACGTACAGTTTCCAGCCAACGGCAAGCTGCAATTGACCGATTGTGCTAAATAAACTGACTTTCTGCTTCAGAACCACTATTGTACGTTCAAAGTGTTAGATCCATTTACACGCCGGGTGGCGGTAATATTTTTTGGGTGATTAGTGCATTCCAGTGACATAAACGTACAGTTTCCAGCCAACGGCAAGCTGCAATTGACCGATTGTGCTAAATAAACTGACTTTCTGCTTCAGAACCACTATTGTACGTTCAAAGTGTTAGATCCATTTACACGCGGGTGGCAGGATGTTTCGGGGCGGGTAATATTTTTTGGGTGATTAGTGCATTCCAGTGACATAAACGTACAGTTTCCAGCCAACGGCAAGCTGCAATTGACCGATTGTGCTAAATAAACTGACTTTTGCTTCACAACCACT